GTGGCTCAAGTGGTTAAGACGCTGAACTGCAGGCTGTGGAAGGTCAGTAGTTCAGCAGTTCGAGACCCGAGTGTGCCGCATGACGGAGTGAGCTCCCGTCTCTAGTTCCAGCTCCTGCCAACCTAGCAGTTCGAAAGCAAGAAATTGCAAGTAGATAAAGAGGTACTGCTTCGGTGGGAAGGTAACAGCGTTCCGTGCGCCTTGGTGTTTAGTCATGCCGGCCACATGACCACGGAAACGTCTTCGGACAGCGCTGGCTCTTCGGCTTGGAAACGGAGATGAGCACCGCAACCCTAGAGTCGGATTCGACTGGCTTTCGAGCAAGGGAACCTCTACCTTTACTTACACCGCAGTAAACACACCGGCTCCCAGTTGGCTCTTGGACCCAATTCTCCCTGTTGGTTCTTTAGTGCCCACAGTGACTGGGGGTCCCACACATCCTCAGAGATCACCTCTTTTCCTACAATCCAAGTTAGTATTTAGAGATGGCGGGCAGGCTCTGCTCCATGGGCACATTTGATTCCGTTCCACAGGGCCTGTAAGACGGAAACGTCCCGCCAGGCATACGGTTGAGGCAAGCAAAGTTTCCGTCTGAATTGGCCTCTCCCGCCCCCTCCCCCGCCACTCATTTGTACCAACTTCACAAGCACACAGGTGGCACAACCGCACTCAGATACAAACTGCTGTTAGTGCCTAAGTCGCCATCGGATTTTATTTTTGATTATTATTATTATTATTTTGATTATTATTTTTGGTTATTATTGATTAATTTTGTCGTAAGCCTCCCTAAGCCCTGCTTAAAAAAAAAATCTAAATAAATAAATACTACTGTATTAATTTGTTTTTAATCATTAATTGTAGTATCATTTTAACTTGTTACCCGCCCTGAGCCTTGCAGCACAGGGGGAGGGCAGGCTAAAAGTCCAAATAAAATTAATAAATAAATACATGCTGAAAGAGACAAAAAGCATTTGGGTCCAGTGACTGAGTCTTTGCTGTTGTTGTTCCATGACTTGGGGACAATTTCCCTGATGAGTTCTGAAGTAGTCCAATTCTTTCTTAAAAGGTCTATGTGCACACTTGCGAGCCTGGAAGTCATGGTAACTTCTGGTGGCTCCTAGTGGGGCTAGGATGTTTCCGAGAGGTGGCTTGATATTACCCGCCTTTGCGTCCCAGCCAGTGTTCCCTCTAAGCTGAGTTTAAATAAAATGAATAAATAAATGCGTGCTGAAAGAGACAAAAAGCATGTGGGTCCAGCGACTGAGTCTTTGCTGTTGTTGTTCCGTGACTTGGGGACAGTTTCCCTGATGACGACATGGTGACGACTTCTGGTGGCTCCTAGTGGGGCTAGGATGTTTCCGAGAGGTGGCTTGATATTCCCCGCCTTTGCGTCCCAGCCCTGGTATTCCTTGGAGGTCTCCCGATTACTTGCCAATTACGTAGCTTCTGAGACCTGACAAGATCTGGCTTCTCTGGACTATCCAGGTCAGGGCAAGCAGTCCGATTCTTGAAGCTTTTCTGAGGGGAGGTGGGACCCTCCTCTTTCAGAAGGCCTGTGCTTTTCTGATTCTGTAGCTTCATTGCTATAGAGTGCTATATTACTTATTGTTTGAGGCCGTTTTAAGCTGTGTCTTATTGTCTTACTGGATATTTATCTCCAACGTAGTGAGAACTTCATTTGAAAACCTGTTTCTTTACCTCCGCTTGAATCATAGAATCATAGAATGTTAGAGTTGGAAGGGACCTTGCAGGTCATCTAGGCCAACCCCCTGCACTCTGCAGGCGCATAGCTGAAAGATAGCCCTACATACCTACAACATACACGAAAGATGGTCATCCAGCCTCCGCTTGAAAACGTCCAGCGAAGGAGCACCCACCACCTCCCGAGGCAGACTGTTCCACTGCTCAACCACTCTTACAGTTAGGAAGTTTCTCCTGATATTTAGCCGGTAACGACTCCCTTATAATCTTGACCTGAAGAAACCATTGAGTTTTTCTTGTTGCAGGAGAAACCTCAACTACTTTTCCAACGCTTATGCTGCCGCTGTCAGTGCTGTAGACCCAGATGCTGGAAACGGAGAGCTGTGTATTAAGGTGCCGTCAGAGCTGTGGAAACAAGTCGATGGTAAATTGTTAGAGACCCTGTGGATTCTTAAAGGCCTTACAGATTTTGAACCCCAGTCCAGAATCTTTTTATGTGGGCAGTTTGTGGCTGGGCCGCCGATGGAAACAGCAATGCCAGTGAAGAGCTGCTGTATAGAAAATTGTCTTTCAGTTGGGAGTCATAGGTTATCTTCAAAGATCTCAGCTTTGGTGTAGTGGTTAAGTGCGTGGTCTCTAATCTGGGAGAACCGGGTTTGATTCCCCACTCCTCCACTTGCACCTGCTGGATGACCTTGGGCAAGCCATAGTTCTGGCACAGCTGTTCTTGAAAAAGAGCAGTTTCTGTCAGAGCTCTCTCAGCCCCACCTACCTCACAGGGTGTCTGTCATGGGGAGGGGAAGGGAAAGGAGTTTGTAAACCGCTCTGAGACTCCTTTGGGTAGTGAAGGTCAGGGTATAAATCCAATCTCTTCTTCTCTCTTCACAAACAATTGTATTTCAGTCTCCCTCCTCCTCCAGTTGTTAATCTGGATGGCTTTTGTAATGCTGAATATTAAAAGCAGTTGATACATTAATGTGGCAAACCTCTTCCACTAAGTGAGTGTCAGCGAGAAGGGTGGATTATAAATGAAGTAAGCTTATAAATAAATAGGAGCTTCAATGTGTGGTTGCTGTTTTATTGCTACAGAGCTAAAGGCCCTAAAAGTGCACATCATCTTTTCTCTGGACCAGCCAAAAGGAGGCCTTCATTTCGTGGTACCCAACGTGGAAGGCATCCTGGCAGAAAGAGGGGCCCACGTCTTCTCTTGTGGATATCAGAATTCTACCAGGTGAGAGTTGTACAGTTTTGCCTCTGCGGTACCTGCCTAATGTAATTCTCCTTGAAATTTTGTTTTCGCTATCGACAAAGTGCTATGACAGCTCGATATTTAGTACTATTGTGCATCTTGGTTATTTCTTCGTATCTTTAGAACTGCTTCAGAGTTAATGTTATCCCTGTATAGGGGCTGGAGTGAATCTCTGTGCACTGTCCTGTGCAGAGATGGTAACTGTCCCTGTGTTGCGAAGAGCCAGTGGTAAAGTGTTATTTATAGATATAGAATCATAGAGTTGGTAAGGGGCCATGCAGGCCAACTAGATTCTTTTGAACTATGGTGCTGGAGAAGACTCTTGAGAGTCCCTTGGACTGCAAGAAGAACAAATCAGTCAATCCTCAAAGAAATCAACCCTGACTGTTCCCTGGAAGGCCAGATAATGAAACTGAAGCTCAAATACTTTGGCCACCAAATGAGAAGGGAGCACTCACTGGAAAAGACCCTGATGCTGGGAAAGATTGAAGGTCAAAGAAGACGGGGACGGCAAAGGATGAGATGGTTAGACAGTGTCAGCGATGCAACGAACATGAAATTGAGCCAACTTCGGAGGACGGCGGAAGACAGGAGAGCCTGGCGGGAGATGGTCCATGGGGTCGCGAAGAGTCGGACTCGACTGTGCGACTGAACAACAA